CCAGGACCTCTCTATTCTTGATCAGCAGTATGAATTTGTAAAGCTTTTAAGAAGTCATGCTCATAATTAAGGGGAAACCAGCAAACAATATCTAAAAGGGGACAATTTACACTGGAGGACACTATATGGAAATTTCAAAGCTTGGATTTTCTATTCCTTAACACACCCCCCATTTTTCCCTAGACATGCCACAAACTCAAAATAGAGTAAAACTAGGATTCTGTATTTTATAGCCTAGAACAAGTAACTAGAAAGGCCAGCACAATTCCTGAAAACAAACCTTGACATTACACAAGCTCGGAAAATTTCTTAAGACATCATTGTGACTTTATTCCAGAAAATTCATTTAAGACTTTTCAATGCTTACTATTACTTTTGCCCTCAGTCTACTTTTCCGTGCCGCACCCTCCCACCCCTAAATAAGAATGATACCACTGATACCAAGATGTCTACAAAAGGTAACTAAAAAAGCAATACTTGTCAGTATTACATTTAAGCCTGCAATACCACTGCACATTTTCACCAGCCTGCACATCAAACACGCTACAGCACACCAGAATGTACCACTGGTGTTGTGCCTGTCAGCTGGAGTATTTGGTCCTTTTTCCTTCAGAGTCTTAACATGCACCTATACCAACTGAACTCTATAGATCAAGCCTCAGAACCTGAGTTTTTTGTCCCAGCTCCAGAGACTTCTTGTTTTTTATATATACACACCCGGAGTCTGTTCCCAATCAAAGAGAAGCAATCTTGCCTGGTTCACAATTTTGTCAAACACTGTATTTTTGCTTTATACCCTTACCACTCTCCACATGAAGCTATCAATCTATTTAACTATTTCTGAGTGAGGTGATTTGTACTACTTAAAGAAGCAAATGGAGATTTCTAAAAAGTGTTGCTGATTGAGGGGGGGAAGCAAAATTGCAAAATAAGAAGCAGAAATACGTAAGATTCAGAACACCACCTTTTACTCTGCCCTGTCCCATGCTACCACCATGCCCATCTTTCACTACTGGCCAGAATACCACACTTGAATAGTCTAAGTCACAGTTTCAAAAGTAAATTGGTATTTATTAACATAATTATAATATTAGACAACACACATTTAGCAAATGAATAGCAGTATTTTTATTTTCACAGTAGTAAGAAAGGCCCAAGGCTACAGCTGGAAACTCTGGATTTCAGACCAGTGAGTTTTAGCAGCTGTTACACTAATTACATTTTTAAGTACCCTTTAGGGACAAGTATAAAACATTATTCTCACTTGTTTTTAGTAGCTTAAGCTTACATGAAACATCATTATCAGCTTTAGTGAAAGTATTTCAAAGACAGAAATAGTCAGACATTCACAAAGAAATACCTGTGAGGCTGGAATACACGCCATACAATCACAAGTCAAGCACAGCAACAGTTATGTCCATAAAAACTGCCTGAGTTATGTAAAAGTCAGGAAAAATGCTACTTTTAATATGCAGTCTCTTAACCTACTCTTGGGGGGGGAAAGACATTTGATCAGCCTACCAGTGCAACCTTTAACTTTCTGGTGCACTTTCATTCCAGTTTTCCCAGGTCGTCCTCCTCTCCCTTCCCTTAACTCATTCATTTCAATAGTCCCCAAAACGCTTTCAGACTTCATTTCTCAAAAATGTGAATCTGGGAAAAAAGTTGAAAGATAATATGGTCCAAGTTTATAGAGCCTATAAGGCTACTTCTTAGAAAACTAAAGTCTGTTAAGGCTTTTATTGACTAATATTCATACATGCTTTTTGGCGCACAACACATTAGAGTCACATGCTCTTCATTTGTCTTGCATAGCACTGTCACTGTGAAATCTTCCTTTCTCCTCAATTGCCTTCCTCGGCAATTTTCTCCTTTGTTGTACTTGTGTCTCACTGTCCAGTCGTGCATTACTGCTTCTGCCTTTTGAACAGTTTCCCTGCCTCCAGGTGTCCATAGCTGAACTATGCTCCTTACTGTTTCTTTTCTCCTTAGAAAAGAAAAAACCACACACATACAGATATATAGGTGTATGCAGACTTGCTAACGGCAGCTGAATATACCATCAGCTGAAAGTTACACAAAACATATGCAGGATCAAAAGCTATTAAAAAAATCCAATGGACTGAGTGCTAGTAGGCTCTAATACAAAGCCTACAGTGACCATTACTGATCCATACTTCCAGAACACACAAACTCTTCTGTATAACAACCTCTAAGCTGCCTTTCATCTACGTACAATTAAATTTTATCACAGAACTGTTAAAAGATGATAGATGTTAAAGACTATAAAATGTATAAGCTTCAGCTCAAGGTATACTTTCAAGTGCATATAGGTTAAAGCACAGACTTCCCAATTTTGGTAAACCATCTGAAAATAATATTCCCATGCCTGGTGGAAAGAATTTAAACCTACCTGTGTATTAACAATTTCAAGGAAGGCCATATAAGCACGTCCCAGGCTTTGCAGGAGCTCTCCTCACCCACCTTGGAGATGAGGTGGAAATTATGACTCAGCGTATTAGTTTGTAATCTAAGAGTGTATGTGCACTTCTGGTTCAGAATGTACAATGGATGCTGTAAGACCAATGCCCGGTTTTGAGACACATGTAACCCCAAGTGTATTGTGCAGCAATCCAGTGCAGCTCCCCATGCCATTGCCACCAGTCACACATCTGTCTTCACTGTTACATCAACAACATTTGAGCAAATTAAGCTTGTAAACTCCTGACAGAGTCTACAGGAGAGCTTGAGACACTTAACCAAAACATTTATACACAGCAAAGCCTCAGTGATACAGTATGACATAGAACAAAGCAAAGACGGGGGGGCGGGCGGGGGAGGAGGCTGCTGAATGGAAAAGCTCTCATGCAAACAAATACATGAATAGCAAAGGGACATTTTAATTCCTGTTAGCAACCAATAAGCTTTCTGCTAACTAAGGGTATGGCTACACAGCACAATGCACAGCATTCTGCCTGCCTAAGCTAACTAACTTCATGAACATGGCCACGCTGTCTCTGGCACAAACTATTTCACTTGGAGCTAAACTTCAGTGTCTATGTACTGCATCATTTAATGCACAAATACTGTAAGATAACATGTAAAGAACTCTGCTTTGAAACATAACAGTACTCCAGAAAGGGACTGACTACACAAAACTGACACTCATCCCAAACCTATCCTCTGTATTTACACATAGAAACATATACTCAGTTTATTAACAACTTGTTTACAATTTTGCCCTAGCTTGCCCTGAAAGTCAGAAGAATCAGTTTAATTTTGTTCCTCATTACACTAAACATTAAAAAAAAGAGTTCCAAAGACCAAGCCATACTCTAGCAATCAACATATTTATATTTTTAACTGCACTTGCATTCATTGTGTAGCTATTCCTGAGAAATTTCATTTTTACCATAACAGAATATGCATATAATTGAACAGAGACCATTAAAATATTTGCCACTCAGAAAATAGCAATACTTCCCAAAGACCAACAGCTTGCCTGTGACAGTGTAATTCCCCAAATGCACTGTCACTTTCAGAAAGACAGCAAAGAAAAGCACTATCCAAATCCCATGCAAGAATATGCCTGCGAATTCTGATCGGCCACTGAAGCCTGTCCCTCTGTTCTGTTACTGTTACTACCTCCCTCAAAGGGGAGGTATATTTGAGAGAGTTAACTGCAAACACTAGCAAAGAATGACCAGCAATATTAAGATCTGGATTAGCTCTTGTAATTATCATGTTGAGATGAAGGGTTTGAACATTCTGTTTGTGCTTTTGTGTTGGGTTTTCTTGTTAATGTAATTGCTCTGGAAATATTCTGGTCTGATAAAAGCAGCAGCTAGGAGTTGAGTAGCTTAAAGTACTCATCACCATCTTGTATTATCACAGATTCTTAAAGAATAACTCAACCAAAAACCACGAGGCTGCTGCAATATTTGAATAACACTCTGCAACAGCATTCACAAACACACTTTCAGTGAATACATTTCTGCTTGGGTCAGAGCTCACCATTAGCAACAGAAAATATCCTGGTCTGACTTCTTAAAAGCAAAGGCAGTTATCTGAGGGAAATTATTGCAGAGAATTAGCTGTATATGAACAATACATAAAATGAAAAGGGGAAGATAAATACTATGTACTCAGCAGATAATACTGATTTTAGCTTGACAAGCAACACTGAAATAGCTATTTATACCCCAAGAAACTCATGAGTGACCAAAAGCACTTCCTTTTACCATAGAGCTACAAATGTATCAAGTAGCTGAAAAAGAATTTCAAAGTGCCATTATGGCAGACAGAAGTAGTGGAAGAGCAGGTTTGGCATGCAAACGTGAAACTAGGAAGGAGTTAATCCTTTCTTCTTACTTATCTTTCCATGTATCTATATCTTTAGTCACAATTCGCTGAAGCTTGCACAGTTCATTCACATCAGAAAAACATAAAATAACAAAGGGTGGGGAGGAGAAAATCAGTCAAAAGGAAGAAAACATGCAATACCTCTAATCGCTGTATCCTTCCCTTGAAGAACATAAACAGAGAAGAATTTGGATAAGCAGATTCTTTTTTTGCAAGAATTTCTTTTGCCTCTTTCAATCCTGCCTTGTTATCGCTGCCATCAAGGGCAAAAAAGGGACGAACAACTGTGTGGTACCACAACAGAGCTAATCTAAAAGAAACATAAAAGTAAAAAGGATTACAGCTCATAAACAGAAATTTAAGGATAATGTTCTACACAGGCAAATTTTTAAATGATTCTGAAAGACAAAGATAGATATGAATCTTTTCTTATACAACCCGGCTTTAAAACAAACACAATACTATTGCCATACACCAATGTACTCCTGAACTGCACCTGAACATACAATTCAGTGCACATTACCCAAAGGTAAAGTAACAATCAAGCTCATATCAAAGCAGCTGAGCGTTTAGAACTCTATAGATTTTAAAAAAGAAAAACCCACAGGAAACCTTTGAAAACAAATTGTTCACTGGGGAGGGGAGGAAATCCAAACAAACAAAACTAAACACACATCAGCAGAGACACCTGAAATCAATGTCAAACAGAAATACATCCGGTGTTCAGAAGGGCAGACACCTACATGACCTACTTCACTCCTGGAAACAAGGGCAGAGCACAAAGATTTCCAAGACCATCTGAAGGAGGAAACACCCCCCAAAATACCGTTTTTCTTCCCCAGAAAGGAGAAAGAACAAATGAACAGGAACATTTAATCTTAAGCTTTCTTAACCAATCAGAAATTCAGTTCTCCTCAAGCAGAAGAGACTTTAGCTCTGCTGTCAATGTTTCAAAAGTGACATCTGATGGTACCTGCAGTAGGTCCAGTAATAAAAGCATTAATTTGGAGATAATGGAATAATAAACCCATTTATGAGGGCCATTTAAATCAGGTCTGGCTAACCCTTCACCTGATAAAAAGACCTGAATGCAGTATGAAGGCTTGGGAAAAAAGAGTACACAGAAAATACTCCTCTAAAAAGACCGTAAGAGAACATCCCATTTTACTCAGATGCTAAAATTAAAAATAAACTGGAAAAGATCTTTGGCTAATAGTAAGGATAAATAGCTAAGTGAGATCAATGACTCCTACAAACAGTATGCTCTCCATAGCAGAGAATATAACTCAGGTAAATTTACTCAGCCTTTAGGAGGTGCTTTTATTTACTCTGCTGGCATATAGATTACTAGACATTAGAATAGCAGGTACTGAAGAATACAGCAAAATATTGACACAAACCCCAAATACATGTAAATAACTAACAGCAGAGAGATCTCACACACTAATAAGTGATGAATTTACTAAACCATGGCATGTTAAACAACAAACTACAAGTTTATTTTACCTGCTGTTGTTTCCTTTAAAGCAACATGACTTTTTGGTTTTGACTTTTTTCCATTTACTTACTTTCAGTACTAAGTTATCTACCAAAGCATTTCAATATAGCTACTCACGTAGCTAAAGGGGCCTTCATGTCCTTACTTTCACTTGCATACATCAGTGAAGAAAGCCCCTGTAGGCGGTCTCCGGGAAAACCCAGCAGGTTGATGATTTTGAGCAGGTTTGGGGGCACCATGGATATGCAAAGATGAAAAAGTCCATATCCAAAGCTAACAGCACCTTTCAGTCTGTTTAGCGAATCCTCCGTTACACCTTCTGCAGCAATATGATTATCATTTGCAGCATCAGAAGTCAAGGATTCCTGAGTTGTTTTCTTCTGATATATTTCCTGAAGTGTATTAATGTCCGTATAGCACTTATTGTAAATTTTCCAGGCTTTTCGGAGTATCCACCCACCTTTTATGTATGCTAAAAATCAAGGAAAAAAATATTTCAAGGACATATTTCAGAAGTGGAACACAGTAAGCAGTAAATGGTATTTCACAAATCCTAGGATGCTCTCTCTATTTGCATTAACATATTGTAGAGAGGATTTTGTAACCGCTACTGTCATCTTGAAGAGGTCTTTCATACTGGGCACTACAAACTTAAGTGCTTTTCAACCAGAGACTTTAAAACAGCATGCAATACAAAGGGATTTCCCTTCAGTTATGTAGCAATATAACTGTCAGAAAGAAATAGAGAAACCAAAGAACTTAATGCTGGATTCTGCTCCACTATAGAGTGGAGATGAAATGGCTGTCTGGCAAACAGACAGAAGCAAACTCAAAGAGATTACACCTCTTAAGCCCAAATGCTGTTAAAAGACAGTTGATGGGAAAATACTAAGAAAATCCCTTCCTTTGGGTTAGATAATAAGATTTTCGAGCACCATCATTTCCCTGCCCCTCATATGAACACAGCACCTTATAACTAAGAAAAAAAAAACATAGAAAAAATAAAAGAATGCATAAATTTTATGTTTTTAAAACATTTTTCAGTTGCCTAACTTCCTCAATTTCAAATGCAAGCTGGGTACCTAAATTTCCCTAAAAATCTGGTCTTGAGCATTTCAGTTGAGAATGACAGAATTTTCAGTCTCATTACCATCTTTACAGGAGAGTAAAGAAAGGCATGACACCAAAAGATGAAGATGTCCAATTTGCCTATTTACACAGCATCCATCTTGGTTATCCTTGGATAATGCTAAGTGGTAAACAGAAAACACACACAGAATATACTTGTACATGTTAATTGTAAAAGCAGACAACAGCATTTTGTCTGTGATAGAGCCCTGAGAATTAGGAACTGCAGTGACAAAGGAGTTAAGCAAAAATGAGAGAAAATAAAAGCATGGTTATAGCAGCAGTGTTCTAAACAGATATCACCAAATTTGCAGAGGTCAGTGTTATAACCGACGCGAGAACTAGATCATAACAGGTGGGGTGTGTCAAAGAAAAGGAAAACACTATTAATACCAAACCACTCTTTATAAGCCTTTGACATCTTTGACAAAATCCTTCCAATTACAAAAAAAACATCTCTAGAGGAAGTACCATCATGGACTAGACTACCTTTTTTTGGATTCTTGTTTTATGAAGAGGGGATGAAGCTAGTTTGATAGTCTTAAGAAATCACACTGAGAAAGACTGCAAAATTTGTATTCCCAGTTGTGACAGAAGGGTTCTGTCAACATGAACTTAAAAGTATTAAAAAAATTAATCCTCTATCTTGAGTTCCACATTAAAGTGTTATAATAAAAAATGTAAACCCCTGCCATGATTCAGCTGCATTACAAGACTAACGTTACGTCAATTTTAAGCAATTAGGTCTCATTTTGGCTGCACATAATATTTTAAAAGTTATGTGATTCACCACAAGATGAATACTCATACCACTATGCACAGCAATGCAGCAGACAAATAATAAGGAAAAACCCACATTTTACTTATCCTACAGATAGTGTTTCTGCTAATAGCTAACTACTGTGTTCTGACACATGCATCAAATGGAACGAACACGATGTGGAAATAAAGTATAGTTTTAGGCTTTACTTCCATTAGTGTGCTGTCATGAACAGTTCACTAACACAGCATAACCCTAATGGATCTGCTATACTAAGATAAAACAATCTAGCAAATGAAAAAAAATGAATTTCTGACTTTTTTAAACATAAAAATTAAATCAAGCCCAATCACTGAGCTAATTTCCCAGTATGAAATTCTGAAAGTAGTCAGACCCATGACAGCAGTGATAAATATCAAGAAAAGGTAATTCAGTATTGCTGTGGGAAGCTAATATAAGTTGCTGTGTTACTAACTTTATGATGAAACTATTTCTAATACATCCATGAGGGTGGAAAGGAAAATCTACAATGTGTTAGGCATATGAGAAAGCAGCTTGCATGTCATCATATGCTTCTTGTCAAACTGTTCCAGGAAGAAAAACACAAGAAATTTTTCACCCATCCACTAATGAGAAATATTTATCTGTCTCTGAAGAATGCTTTTTTTTTTTTGAAATTACAGTCATTTCAATAATCTGGTTGCTACTTCTGTACTGAAACATGATAAAAGCAAAAGATGTTTATACATAAACAGAACGATAATATACTCAAAAAATTGAAATAATGGATCTAACAGTTCCACAACGGCAGTAACTAGCAGTCGCTGAAGTGGCATTTAATCGCTCAAATTTTAACTAGATTTCAGGTATGTTTTTTACTCAGTAGAGTAACCCAAATATACCGCATGTTCTGCAGTACTCTGCTACCCAGTTCAGTTCTCTGAGCAGCAGACAAGCGAGAAGGGAACAGACACCACCCTCAGTTACAGCCTCCAACCCAGTTATGCAGCTGCAGAATACATACTGAAATAAGAAAAAAAGCTTCAAGAGGGGGACACCCCACCCCCACCCACCCCCAAAACAAAAACCCAGAACTGCATTAAAAATAGTAAGAAAACCTTTCTGCAGCACTACACACACAGCAGACAGAAATACCCCCTGAATTTCTGCTAGCTAGAACCAAACACATTCTTGATGCCATGGCTGGGAAGAAACCAAGTCTGCACATCACAGAAGGCATTATGTCCCTGACTGAAGATCTTAGTGTTATTTTAAATAATCTTAATGTTATTTCCCCGATTCCTTTCAGCTGATCAGCAGGGTTTTCACTGACAGACTGCCATCTCTTGGTCTTCATTGATTTGGTAAGACCTGGGAATGCGCTCGCTTTGTATATGACCTTGACCACATTTTCTATAAACTCACAGATGAAGGCATGTTTTAAGGTTATGCAAGGGATCCAGGAATGCAAGAGAACATTAGAAACAGCTTTGCAGCTGAGACGAGGTTTGTATTCAACACGAGAGACGAGGAGGTTTGTATTCAACACGACAGGATTAACCTCTTTGGCATGCAAGGACGCACTTTGGTGACCAGACAATAAGAATTGATTTAGCAGTTCCATCTTCAACACACTTCATTTAAAATTACTTTTACTGGCAGTTTGTCATCTCCCTGAGTTGTCATGATCATAATGCATATGGGACATTAGGATCTTCCCGGTGGCCTGGACTTATAGCCTCTTTTATCTTGCAGGCCACATGAAGCACGCAGATGCTATCCATCTTCATACCAACTCCTCAAATGCCTCTATGGGAAAATGCAAAGGATTCCAACCTATCTAAGGAGAATCAGTTGAATATGATTATCGGTATGGAAAAAAGTGGAAAGCTATAATCTGTAGCAATCCAACTCATCTTATTTTATGATACTACTACCTATGCAAAGGTAGAACAATACCTCTGCAACTGTACCAGTCTTGGAATGTTTCAGATGAAACTATGGTCTTTCTTACAAAACAATCATCTTTACTGATAGTCATCTTGCCACTTTATGATAAGGTTTTTATTAAAAAGATACCATGCAAAAAATATATCTAAACATTAAAACCACAGCACACCTGATAACTCCTGTTTTACAAATGAGAGCACAGCCAAGTAGACTTGACAGTCTGCTACAATTATTTGTCTTTGTAGACGATCTATCATGGATAAAGTGGATTTTCGTCCATCAACCTGTTTGAAATATACAAACACAGAGCACAGAAAAATGTTAACAAAGATAATACAGAATACTAGTTTAAACCCGACAAATTAAAAAATCCCAAATTAACTGCAAGTGGTAGCATTGCTACTAAATTAACGCAGCATTTTGAAGTGCAAAACTATGCTAAAAGTTCTTTGATAGCTCATCAAGCAAGCTCCTACCTAATAAACAGGGAAAACTTACATATTTGCTATCAGCTATTTTTCCTAAGATTCTATGAATATTCAGAACAGATTTAAATTTCATTTAATTATTACTGAATGCATCAGACAACTAAAAGATGTTAGACAGGAAGAGCACAGAAAGGGGTATGTGACAAGTGGCAGGGAAAATACAGTGCCTCCTAAGAGCAGAGAGTTAAGTATGCCAGGTTCAATAGGTTTTATCAAGTAAACTAAATATTGAAGAGAAATGGCTTCTTTTTCTGTAGATCTGCTACATCACACTAGGCAGGCCACTCACTGGACATTTCTATACTACTACTTTAACTAGTTCTCAATCTGCATGCTTTATTCTTCCTTCATTATTTAGAATGAAAAATCTAAAAAAGGAAGGAAAATTCCCTAGGAATATGCCTGGCACACAGCACTATGCAGCCTCAACGTCACAACTTTCCAACATTACTAGAGCACGTATGAATTAAAGTTAGCCTGAATTAGACAAGCCACAAGCTTCCTGAAATAATTTTAGTAGGTCACTAATTTGAGGTTAAGAAGGTGTTAAGAAAATAATTACTAAGATCAACACAACCTGCTGCCTTAGAAGAGGAACTACCTGACTGAGTATTTTATGATACTTAGGAAATCCAAGCGAAATATTTGACTTAATTTCTAAATTTATTATTAACCTCAACTGCCCTTCACATATCAAAAATCATCTATTCAAAATACAAAGAGGACAGAAAGGAAGTTTCCTGAAATATTTAACCGATACACAAATCCATATTTTACAAAGTGTTCTTACATTCTTTTTAATTTTATTCTTGATTGTTTCTATAACTCCAGCTTCTTCACTTTCACAAAGTTTCTCTGTAGCCTTTAAGTCATCACATGCCAGCTGCATTTTCTCTTCTTCAAATGTCATCATAGCATTCTACCAAAAACCAAACAGATTTGAAGGATAAAAATCACAAATATTTTTATTTCTACAAAAGCTATAGGATAGTAAAATTTTCATGAAAACTCAACACTAAAACTTCCTTTTTTTAAAAAACGTATTAATACACACGCACATCAATACACATACTTCTACACAGAAACACCAAACTAGACATTTGAGTGTGCTTTACCAAAATTTCAAGACACATCAGAACATACTAAGTCCTAACCCCTTGTCTTAACAAAGCTTCATATGCAGTCAAACTGAATGCGCTCTCACATTACATTAAGCGGAAGAAAAATTCATATAAATTAATTTTCAATTATTGTTATGTAAGACACCATTTGCATCTGTGCAGACACTGCTTTTATATAATTCATCTACATAAATAACAGGCCTCCAGAGTCAGTAACAAGCAACAGCTGTTGCATTTTTCAAAATAATAACCACAATTCCTACATATGTAGAAAGAAAAAAAAAATACATCCGACTCCAATTACTGCTGGACCAATTTAGAAAGAATTTCAGCACAAGTAACTTCTTTTCTTGATGCTTTATTAAACGAAAGCTCTGAATGACACAGGCACACAAAGCGCTGCTGCTATGTTTAGAACAGTAGCTAAGCAAGATATTTTCAAGATCCACTGATGCTGCACTGTGATGTTACACTGGTTCAGCACATCAATTCAGATAAGCAAGCCTGAGCGATTCTCCCTCTTTCCTTTCTCCTCTCCATTGACTTAAAAGCAAGCACATGCCCCAAGAGGTTTCCTAACCAATATATTTTTCCATATTGCATAGTCTACAGACACTAGAGAGAATTCAAATTAATTTCATTTACAACTTATCTATTTCTGGCATATTAGAACAAATTCTGTCTTTAAAGAGAGTATTACCATAGATAATTTCTGGTGCAATCTAAGATTAAGCAGCAAAGTCAGAATAAGGACAGTCTAAAAAACAAGACCCAAACATTTTCTAATACACCTGCTCAGTTTTTAGATAAGATATTCTCATTTTAATACATTAAAAAAAGAAGAAAAGCATTTAACAGACCTAACTTGCTCATTACAACTCTTTAGTCAGTCAATATTCTCTGTTGTCGTATATTCAAAAAGGAAGCAATGTGAATGGATTGAACTAACAACTTTCACCCAGCAGTATGGATGGAGAAAGTTTCAATAGCAAAAGCTATCAGGAAAATGGCATTTATGAGTATTATTTTAATAATACCTCTACTGCTCATTTAAGAGAGGGTTTTATTATGGCTCTTTTAATGGAACACATAAATATTTCATACATTTGAGCAGCTGAATCACGGAACCTTTACTTTCTATTTAAACCACATGAGTAAACAAGTTTTATATAACATGACTTATTTTCTAGCTACATTTAATTTAAAACTTTGAAAAAATAAGTCTCATAAAAAGAAACAAATTAGAGTATCCACCATTATGAACACACACACATGCACATACAAATATTAACCACAAGAGAAGAGATGTATACTCTCTGCTCCCATCTACTCACCAAAAAACTGACAAAACTGGCTCCAAAACTCATTAATGGGCTATGGTTTCTGTAAAGAAAACAAAATGTAGTTACTATATTTGCACATATTTCCTATTGTAAAGATCAATATTGCATTTCTTGATTTTAATTTATACATCTGTAAATAAATCTTGGGGTTTTTGTATTAAGTTACAGACAAACATTATCATTCTGCAAGATATAATGGAAATGGACAGCCAAAAGCTTAATCTTTTTTACGAAGACTCAAATATATCTTTCAAAAAAAATTTTTTCAAGCATTAAACTGTAGATATATTTTAAGAGAAACCACTGTCATCAAAATACGCTCAGTGCAGGTCAAAAAAAATTTAAGGGCTACAGAAAATTAAAAATTTGCTAATTCTAGTCTTCTCTATGATCCATCACTACAATTTTGACCTGGCAGAGAAATGTTAACTGGTTCTATTAAGATATTCCCACTTCTCCCTGTTCCTATGAATTTAAGTTAATCTACCCAGATTTAAAAAAAATGCATATGCCACACAACTAAGCTGTTGGAAATACAAAGTTCTTACAAGGCTTATGGTTTTACAGCTGCTTTGTTTCAAGCCCACAATACATATCTTACTACACTACATGGAATAGTTTTAAGATGTTTCACGTATTCCTTTTGCAGGGATATTCCAAAGGATGAAATCAACTGCTAGATCAAAAAATGCAGGCAGCCAAAATCTTGGCAATATATGGGACAGGTTTCAAGCTTCAGGACTACTGTACTCACATAGACCATGAGGCTCCAGTAATATCACACAGAAAGCATTTTAAAAAAATTATTTCTGGGCCTCAGTGGTACCACTGATCCACACTGTTCAGCAATGGGCTGCCAGGTTATATGTCCATGTATAAATATCATTACTGGAGTAAGGATAAAATACATATAGCACTTCAGAAGAAACACTGATTTCCAGGATTTAGGAAGAGGTAACATTTATGCTACAGGTACATATATTGCTAGAGTACAGTACTTATGCTGTTTCCAGTTTAATTTGGCAGGCATCAGAGTTTTAAAATAGGACAAGCACTTGAAAAACATGGAGAAAATAGTATATTATTTATTACAATACTGATGTCCAATAGTAAAGCTGTATTATAATACAGGAGACTTTTTTTTTAAAGGTAGTCTTCAATATCACCCCTGCTCTCACTTTTTGATTTAGCACAAATATCTCAAAGGACATGAACAAGAAGAAAAAGAAAGAAAAACAGGGAAGATAAACAAAGCAAGTTAGAACTGAAAAACCTTCCTTTTTTGTATACATTGCTCAATTCTGGATATACATATACATGTATGACAAACATAACTTGCCACATTTTTTCAGAAGAAAAATAGGTTAGGTATTTTCCCCTTTGTTGGCAGGCCAACAAGAGCAGCTGCCAGTAAGTGCCTCTGCTATTGAGTACCTGGACTGTTCTCTACCAACAGCTGCGTTACACAGAGCAGTAGAGATCAGCTACACAAGTTACACTTGCTGCTGCTGGCACTTTCAGCATGAACTCTTGCTGCAGAGGGCACATGGCTCTCTCATAATCCACTTTTCAACCCGTGGGACCCATTCAGCAGCCAGTCCTATCACCATACTCCACAGCACATAACCCCCACCATACATTTCAGGGTCACACCTACTGCATTACCAACACCCAATGGATCTAAAACAGCAGAATAGATCAGCACAAGAAATTCTTACGTTTATGTGCTTATGTACGAAGTTGCACTTATATCATACTTTCAAGGAAGCTCAAAAATATATCAAACGTTTCATTTTTGAGCTTCCTTATATCTACATACACAAAGACGCTCTGGGGAAGCAAGCAGGCAGGCATCTCTAGAGAATCAATCTTTCATACTGAAGTCCATTCGGAACAGAAAATTGTCAGAGAAAGATTGTTTATCAGAGTGAATTAAAAGAATTCAACCACAACAGTCTTTGAATATAACCAGAAAAATAAAAATGCATGACATAAGAAACAGTTAATTAGATTTGCACTTTTCAGTAAGATTCTTAGAACACACTTTTTGAATATTAAGTTTTCATCCACACTGAAAAATTTTACTTCATTACCAGGAATGGATTATTTTAATGGAATAACTAAAATTTGAGCATCTGAACACCTGTAAAAAGTTTACTTGTAAAATTGATACATATTACACTCTTACTAAAACTTTGCACAACAGAATCAAGATTTTGAGGAGGGCTTTTTTTCCCTCCGAAATGTGCATAAGCAAATCAAATAAGCTTAGCAACATATGCACTTGGCACTCAGAAGAAAGTAGCATCCAGGCATTCCTTAGGACTTAGCAAGAAAGAGATGAGTTTTATCACCAAAACATAAATACAAATTAAATACTGTGGAATTATAGAATAAATAGTAAAAGTGTTGCATATGAAAACATTTTAAGTGCTAGACTACTTTTCATTTTCTATGAATTTATAAAAAAAAAATCCTCCTGATGTAGAAATAGTTACTGAAGCTTAAAAAAAATTAAATACATCAGCTTTAGAGGTAAACTGATTCCCTGTCTATGGGAACAGTATTTTCAAATAGAGCAACTTGAATAATGGCCATGTTTGGGAGCGAAACCACTAAACTGAATAAACAGGAACAGAGTTGAGAATCAAACAGCATATGTATGCTGTTTCAGCAGCTCAATATATATGCTAATTTGGGCATACTATTCAAACATTTGTTAAAATTTGGTTTTCTTTTCAGGACTTGAAGAACCTGTTCTTAAGAGTGCACATATATACGTGTGAAGGTATCAACATTTAAATACACATTTTAAAAGCCTTTGTATTTCTTTTTTGGTAAATTTTAATACTATGTCAAAAAATGAGGCAGCTAGTTACAGTTGAGAGCCAACTACTCTTCCAAGATTACAGAAGATATCAAAGCGCTTACTGCAAGCAATGAAAATTTGTCCAAGTATTTTAGCATATATTTGTCCAAGTAAAACAGAAGTTTTTCCCCCAAATAAATATTCACCTTTCAAAACTGCTTCCCCACTTGCACTTTGACACTCACAGCTCACTGTTTACAATTCTTCCACCATGATTAAAGACGAGACAACAAAAAACTTGAGAGCCACATTACTCTACTCTGAAATTATGACTAGCTGTAATACATGAGGTAAAACGTTGCAGATTAGTCCTTTTTAATATTCAGTCACTCAATCTATAAAAAACATTGTCATTACAGCACATATGGGCTGTAGCACATAAGGACCCTGAAGCAAGAAAACATGATGCGTAATATTATGCTATGTCTGGGAGATGCTTCTGTTGAGACCATAATGTTTGGCAATCAAAACATGAAAACTTCACTGCAGGAGCTCCTCATGCAGAGTTTGTGTCATCACTAAACAAAATAAGGAATGCTTCTGCCACATTCCTACATAGTCACTGGGTAGAGACTATAGTTGCAGCTTTATGGAAGATAATTTGTTAAGGTAATTTCAGCATTTAAACTCCGTTTTAAACAACAACCACATTTAGTGCTCAATCTTTGTGAATATTATGTTGACTGATACGTTCTTCAGCAGTTTAGGGTTATCTTTTCCTTGAGAGCTAGGAAAAAGGTTTGCAATGCCACAGTACTGTCCCAGTAAACTCTAAGGCATCACTAATGATGACAACAAATTTCTAAGAAAAGCATAATTCCATGAAAATAGCCCTTGGCTCAAACTCCTTATAGGTGACCTCCAGCATCAGACATGATTTTACATCTTTTGACAGATTCCAAAAAGTTGTTAAGATACAAACAAATGAGGCAGCACTTCAGAAAATTCTAATAGCAAACCAACGGCCATATTGATGTTGACAGGAGTTACGGAACTGAATACAAATGAACACTGGGAGACTGCACTACCCAAGTTGTCCTCGCTACTTTGAGGCAATAACCTCCATTAAGTAAAGAAAAATCTCAAGACTTAAGTAGCTCAAAGATGAAGAAAAATTCAGTCTCCAGACACGTTGTAAAATATTGTTTGCACCTCACCTCAGAAGGTATCTTTCTTATAATAAAGTGTGCTATTAACACCATTTCTACAAGATACCACAGTAAAAGGTTGTATATATCAATAAAGTTGGTATGTATAACTAAACTTAAGTCAGAAGCTTAACAGTACTGAAGTAGACCTTTCTTCCAGGTATCTAAACTGGTGTTATACGAGACATTGCTTCCCCCAATAAACCCTAACTAATTCACCTCATTTCATGGCGTATCTTTAAGATGTTAATTCACTTTCAGAAGAAAGGTGTTTGCCATGCTCCGTTTCCACACATGATGATAACATTCAAGAGTTTTAAGCCTTGGTTTAATAAGGCTGAGATAATACAGCCCAATTTTACCATTAAAAAAAAAAAATCGAAACTGAAGCACACCAAAAGAAAAATCAATTACTTATCAGTATTTTCTTTCTTCTACATCCATTTCCACGGTAGTATTTCACTTCCAAATACATCAGCTTCTAAAGCTACTACAGCCTAGCTCAGATTTAAATTTAAGTAATGTAATTTACCCGCCACACTTCCTCCCCGCTTTTCTAGGCATGTTACTTTAACCACGGTCCACTAAGAATTCCAGTCATCATATTGGTAGTGATGCTCAAGTTGAAACAAAACAAATTGTTTTCCTCCAAAGTGGGAGAGTAAAGCATAATGAAAAATTAAGAATTCATGTAAGTTCACAGACAAATATAGAAGCAGCTACTGAATATTTTAAAACAAGCAGAAATACTTATAACCTATATTTAAAGATAAGGAATTGACTGCAAAAACATACAAATCCTTTGGTCATTATTCCATCACAGATTATTCTAGAATATATTCTAGAAATTATTTCTGAGACTACAAACATAAGACAGATCTTTATACAAGTACACATCTCATCCAGTATTGGTATATGAAATAGCTACGGCAATGTAAGTGTCATGAAAGCATTACAGTATTAAGACACACATTAAGAACCGCAAATGTCAGATCTAGGTTTAGTTTATGTTTCATAATCAG